AGTCCTTGCTGCAAAACAACTTGGAAACTTTACTCATGCAACCTCCTACCGGTTGGCTTGCTAACCTTGACTATGTTGCCTGCTTTGCAAGGAAAACTGGGAATTTTGTGGTTCTTCCATTTCTCCAAAGATGGAGGCACAAGGTTTACAGTCAAGAGGTGGGAGCCTAGCCTGTAGGTACAACTGCCGAATGTTCACCGGTCCCTTTTTCTTTATATTCCGTTGGCCCCTTGCTCTTCTTCCATGTGGCCAAGCAGAGCACCTGTAGCCTTTGCAAGGTTCATATCATTTGAGATGACTAAAGCTGAACGATGGAGGGGCTGAACTGTTACTGTTGCCCACAGCTCATGAGGTGGCTGTGAGCTAAGAACTGGGCTTCTACCACCCAGGACTGTCTGATCTCTGCCACAGGTTTCTTCTTTGGTTCCACAGAAGCCTTTGTAGGTGCATTTCAGCCAGCCTGAACACCTAGCCTCATTATTATGCAAATGTCTCCCATCAAATTGCCTAACTGATCTCAGGAACTCAAGTAGGCAGCAAAATGGAGGCAAGACGTGTATAAAAAGGAAGTGGATTTTCAGAGCAAGCACAAGAAGTTGGGCGAAAGGGAACAAAATCTGAAAATGCCCGAGTCAGAGATCTGCTCCGGCAGAATTTTCTCTAGGCACTCTTGGCCGCTTCTTCTACACTTGTGAACTACCTTCACCTTCAACCTAAGGTGAAAAATCACTTTTTAAATAGAATTATTTGAAGGAAATCATGGACTAGTAGGTTCATCAGTTGTAACAAGGGGATATTGATAATGTGGGAGGCTGTGTGGGTGTGGGGGCAGATAATAGAACAGTGTCCTCGCTCGTAATTTTGCTGTGAACCTAAAACTGTTCTGAAAAATAAAATCAACTTTAAAAGTTGGACTAGAGTTAGACAGACTTGTAAGTGAACTTCCGATTTACTACCACTTTCTAGCTGTCTAATCTTTACTGAGTAGTTTGAAGTTTCTGAAATGCGGATTCTCTATTTGTCACTATTTTAAGCATCAAATGAAACAATAATGAGTAATAATAACTGCCATTTATTTTACAGCTACTGTGTGCTAGGCAGTTACTTTTTAGTCCTCAGAGTGCACTGAAATTATTATTCCTACTTGATACATGAGCAAATAGAAGCAAAGAAGTCAGGTGACTTGACTGAGGTCCTCCAGCTAGTAAGAGGCAGGATTCCCATGTTGAAGTCACTGTGACATGAAGGTTAAAGATATCAATTCTCCATAAGGCTGCTTGCTCTACCCCTTGGTAGCAACTTGGATAGTTGTGAATGTAAGAGGGTACAACTCATGTAAAGCCGTTAGAAAATAGTGAGTTCTGGGTACGACTGTTAACCCAGGGCCCCTGACGCATGTGTTTTTTCCATCATCTGCTTCCTTCACACACAGTCAACATAAGACTGACCCATACTTCACAGCAATTTTTTGTCAAAGCGTTACTCCTTTTATTCCTTTTCCTACATAAACACCTATCCTCTCCTAACTAAAAACTAATTCAAAAGCTTTACATAGGAGTGTCTGGGGATAGTTGATAATTATAATTTTAAAATGCATCAAAAAATTGGTGTGCCATTTTAGAAATATCAGCCAAGAGACAAAGTAGGATTGCAACAGTCCAGATGTCTTGAAAACGTTGTAGAGTGAGTTTCTTAAGTTGGGTCTGTGATGGTACGCTAAAGAATTCCATTCATTCATTCATTCATCAGCTAACCCAAAAATATATATATTTTTTGTAACTATTCTGTGTCTCGCATAATTACATTTTTCACTTTTAGTTTTGAAATGTTCTTCTAAGCAAAGCCAAGTGATTCTTTTGTGCATATAGTCACCCGATGTAACCTTCCCCCTCCACACCTGTTCTGACATTTCCTGAGATGCTGACTCATCTTATGTTCCATTGCAGTTGGTTGAATGGAAGGGCATGTCTCCTTCTTATGCTTTTCTCAACTCCTGCCAACCCTTGAGTGTCCAGGTGCTGTGGACCCTGTGTGGCTGCTCCCTGACACTTTTTTATCCCTCACTTCAGTCCGAGTCCTTCCTTTGCTCCCAGGGCCTTCGGATCAGCCTGGGTTCTCCATGGGATTTTGCCTTTCACTGCTCCATTTCCTAGCAGGAATGCCAGAAACCCAGAGTCAGATGACAGGCAAATACAGGTACAGGGTCTGATTTAGTCACAGGCCTTTGAGAAATCACTAGGGCAAAAGAGATTTGATACACCCCTGTTCTAACTGTTGTGGGCAGGTGTCATTGCCAGGTAAATGCATTACATGTAGTTGGAATGAGAAGAAACATGCTTGGTTTATCAACAGGCTTCTTATAAAGGGCATTTTTGATATGGTTCTTTAGAACATGCAACACCTCCTCCTTTAAAAATGATGCTAAAGATGGTAGGTAGAGGCAGGAAAATGGCATTTTATTCATTTTCACTGTGCCCTGGGCATTCTGCTGGGCACTTTAGACCCACTAATTTATTTACTCCTCACATCAATTCTGCAAGGATAATTGTTATTATGGTTGTTGTCACATGTACTCCGCAAGAAAATTATTACTCTTGTGTTATTATTTTTCTCAAATTGCAAGTAAGGAAATAGGCTCAGGAAGGTAAACTAAGTTGTCCGTGCTCACCACTGGGAAGAGAGCTGGGATGAAGCCTGGGTCTGAGGGCTGCCAGTAGGCCTGAGTTCCGCCACTGACGTCATTCCACATGGGGTACTTTGCCGTGGGAGGCGGGACACTGACCGTCCCTGGCAGCAGGAAGCAAGGAGCTGGACAAAGACCAATCTGAGACAGAATATTCCCTTTTCACTCTCCCTCCCCTTCTTTCTAAGTCCTAACCTCTGCCTCGGCAAAGACTGCCAGAGAAATAAGTCAGGCAGAGGGTGGGGCTCGGAGGTCAGAGGGGCTTGAGTCGAAGTCCCAGCTCCACTATTGATTGGCTGACTGTACTTGGCAAGTTCCCTTTACCACCTGTGCTTTGGTTTCTGAGGTTGTAAAGGAGGGGTAGTACATAACGGGAGCGGCTTCATTCATTCACTGAGCAACTTCTATTGAGTTGTACCATGGGCTCGGCACCATTTAGAGCAAAACGGAGCCCCTGCTCACAAAAAAATTAAATTATACAGGAGAGAATGGACCAAAAAAAAAGAAAAAATCAAACCCCACCCAAAACCAACAACAAACAAACAAAAAAACGGGGAGGCAGTAAGGAGTAAGGAGGAAAATACACATAAAGCACTTAGAATAATGCTTGGCATGTGGTAAGCACTCAATATATGTTAACTATTATTCTTTTTCCATCTGTGTAGCAATTTGAAATAAAATAAACCAGTGTACCCAGGCTCTCAAATGGGGTTTCTTTCCCCAGCTGCTTCTTCCACTTCCAACCAAGCCCACTGATTTTTCTAGAAACTCTGACAGCTTCCATGACACCCAGACTTCATGCTGCGGTCTTGGGTCTGGAGGGAGACTACCTGTTAATAGCTCACCTGGGTGTCTCCTGCTCATAGGCTTGAGCCCTTTGAGGGTAGGGACCCATCGCTCAACCAGCTGTGTGTGCTGAGGGCCTGCATATAATAAGTGCTCAATAAATATTTGTTTTGGGGCGGGGGAGGAGAGATAGTTTGTATGTGGAGCCATGAATCGCCCCTGGGTGCTTTTATATTTACTCTATTTTACCAAGAAAAGTATTGGCTTTTGGTGTGGTGATTGGGAGGAAGCCAGGAAAAAAAAAAAAAAAAAAAAGATGAAAAAATTCATTTGCCTGAGCTGTTGCTTTTCTGAAAACCAGAACAGACAGCATCAATCTTTGGTGGCCCTTTAATTATTCTTTCCAGGACTGAAGGCTCATTCCTGATGCCTGCCAATGACAACAACTTAATGTCCTCATAAGCAGAACAACTTAATGGGAAGAAGAGAGGCTTGCAGTTTCTCCACCCGGGCCACGGCAGTGGGGACCACTGAGTGGGGAGCTGCCCCTCCCTCCTCTGACAGGCAGCTGCAGGACATCTCCTCCTAAAGTTTGGCACTGATCAGCAATTCTCTGGGAAAAGATTGTGCTTAAGAATTTGGGGGTACACGGGGCAAGATGCAAAGCACAAGGGCAGCTGTGATGCCCCCTTTTAGAATATGATGCTTGGCGTAACCCTCCTGATTCACTCTGATAGGAGCCCCGTCCCCCTCAATGATTAATAGTGATTTTAACTGCCTTAAACCGGGCCAGTTTCAAAGCATTTTCTGGACAAACAAGAGACCCTCAATCCATGACAAACAAAGTTCACATGGATAGTTTGCATTCTGCTGAACTGCTCTCTATTTTTAATGATCATGTTAATAACAAGGCAACAAGATTGCCTATAATCTTAAAACAATCCTTGAGAACAATCCATATGCATGTGATGGGTGTTTGTACAACCCTGGACAGTTATGTAACTTCTGTCTGCGGCAATATCTGTATCCCATAGGACGTTTGCATAGGGTGGGGCTACAAGTCACACACACCCCCTCTTTGAACTGATTATCTTTTAAAAATGTACTCTCCTTAACCTGGTTGTGATATGGTGGTTTCTGTTTGTAAAATCAAATTCTGAAAAGAGCGGAGAGAAAGAGCGCCCAAAAAGAAGTTAAATGCATTTTACATGAAATGTAAACTCTTTTTGTTGAGAAATGTCACATTGTGTTTCAAAGTACATTTATTAAATCTCCCCAAATATGTCCTACAGAATTAATTTTTATTCAGTTCGCGTTCATTCATTTGTTGAATTGGAATTCGGTCCCCATTTGAGGCAATTAATTTGAGGAATGACCACACGCTCGCCCACCCGCCTTCTAGAACACCCACACACATATGCTGAGTAACAAGCAAGTGGTGGCTGGGTTTGTCTTTCTTTTTGCTTTCCTTTTCTTCTTTTGAGGTAGTTTCTGTTCTTGCCTGTTAAATAAATGATCTGTCTCTTTGCAGGATAGCGACAACCTCTGGTGGGACGCGTTTGCCACCGAGTTTTTTGAAGACGACGCCACATTAACTCTTTCATTTTGTTTGGAAGATGGACCAAAGCGATACAGTAAGAAAGAAGTTTATTTTTCTCATATTTCTTCTTTTTGCGCCTGTAAGAAAACGACAGGGGTCTTCAGAGAATAGCACAGGGCTGACAGTCTGACAGTAACACCTCCCATCCTGAGGAGGTTCTTGCTTCCCATCAGGGCTTTGTCACCGGGTGGCAGCCTGAGTCAGCTGAGAGAGTTTTCTTTCGAGGCTGAGAATGTTTAGGTACCTGTCTGTTTAGCAAGTGAGGCAAATATGAACTAAGTCACCCAATGATAAGTGGGAGCTGGATGGCAGGGTTTCCATCCACCTCTTCCCTGTGACCCTGCTTTATCCCTGACAGCTGACACTTTACACCCAATGTTCCACTTCTGAACGTTCCTTAAAGAAAAAGAAAGGAAGGAAGGAAGAAAGGAAGAAATTCTCATAGTCACTGCATCAGCCACAGCCTCCTAATTTCTTCTTATCAATTATATCCGGTATTTATCTGACAAGTGCTATCTTTTCTTGGGGGTGGGGGAGAGAGGTCACCCCTGCCTTGAACATACAGTTTTGGATTAGTGTTGACAGAATTATAGTCCCTTGTCTTTCCAGCGAGTGATAACTCTGTAAAGATCCTCAAATTACTGCCTGTGGCACCTTGGGTAGCAGCGGATTTGTCCTGATTAGGTTCAGCCAACTTGTCAGAGATCAGATTTGCTAGTTGTGCTATAAGACCAAGAGGCATAGAAACATCAGCACAAAACCAATTAATGTCCGGTTAGATCAGAAAGAGATGTGTTTTCAGAAATCAGGTGCACGTATGAAAGGATCTGTCAGAGGGTAAAACATCCCAAATGTCACAAACACAGAGATGATGATGGAACCAACCACCATGTGTACGAACCCGCCAATCCAGAGCATTGGGCAATGATAGATAATAAGGCTCATGAGAAACATGATTAAAAGTCTGATTTTTGCTAAATATGTTTCAAAGGCACTAGAGTGTTTTCCTTTTTTTTTTTTTAACTTTAGAGGACTTTGGACAACTTAGTAGTATTTGGATCTATTGTTTGATGAGCTGATTAATTATGCTAATACATGCATGGTGATTTTGCCCAAGTGGCAAACTGGGGAGATCAGCACAACTTGAACTTGCTGCTCAATTGGAACTCATTGCCAGGAACATCTCTTTAGATGTCTTTGTTGTGGGCTTTTAAGGGTGCGGGATGTTTCTGGTAAGTATTTTGGGCGAGAGGGGCTGCTGGTCTGCCAGACAGAGTGTCTTTGCATTCAACATAAGGACTCCTGTCGTAATCACTGGCAAGCCCAGCTCTTGGGGGTCCTGCAGAGTGCTTTCCTGCGTGTGGGTGCCCCTGAGCAGCCTCGTGCCCTGGAGAGTAGGAGAGTTGGGTGCAGAAGCCGCTGTTTCAGAAGTCCCGGGAGATAAATGAACTCCGCAATCCAACAATTACTCTCTCCCCAAAAGCCTGCCTGATCAATGGTGAATAATTTCGAACCATGCAGTCATCCATCCTCTGAGCCTTCTTATTTTCTGTAGAGGCACAAGCTCAGATAACTTCCAGTTATCATTGTTTTATGTTCTTGTGGGTTTCTTTGTTTCATTTCGTTTTGTTTTTTTGTTTTGGGGGGGTTTGCTTGTTTTTGTTTTTGTGTTTGCTTTGTGAATCCATCAGGGTCTGCTCAGGGAACTAGAATTACAGTTTTAGAGTACATCATACTAACGCAACAGGGTTTCAGTCTTCCTTCTGCCCAGCCCCCAACCCCAGCACCATTTGAGGGTAAGTCATGATCAGCACCGATTTAAGATCTTACTTATACCCATGCACAAGAGTAAACGCCTGACTATAAGCCATTGTTGTCCAGGTTTCTTTGTTTCTGTGAGCCAAAATATTTCCTGAGCAGAGAAGAGAAGCAAAGATGATTGACAGTTTGGAGCCGAGTCTCATCAGCTGCTTTGCTGACAGCCTGGTGATGTGCACAATGCTGCTGATGTGTGGGCAAGTGACAGGTGATTGACAGCACAGGACGGGGAGACAGGGAAGAGGAAGCATGCTTAGAACGCCTGACGCACACTGTTTATGCAGCGCTCCCAGCTCTGGCGCTGACACTTTAACCCGTTCGCAGTCCAGGCAGTGGGTGCCAGGCTGTGAAAACACCTGCCAGTGTTGGGCAGCAGGCTGCAGCTCTTCCTCGAGACCTCCTGGGGAGCTGACAGCCCTGGATTTCTGAGAAAGAAAACAAGACGTGGCTATTCCATTTCTCTATGCGAAGAATTTCCCCAAATTACATTTATCTTAGGTACCAAGAAATATGTCAGATGGAGTTTATTTAGTCTCTACTAGAAAAAAATTTTTTTTCCTTCCTTTTCTCTCCCCATCTCTATGTGTTTACAGGGTCCGTCTGGCTCTAAGATATCTTATCTCTAAGCTACAGTAAATCCTATAATATGTGTTGGCTTATTTACTTGGTGTCTGTCACCATCCTATTAGAATGTCATCTCCGTGTGAACACGAGCTTTCTATTATTTATTGCTGAATTCTCAGATTCATACAGGAAGTTGTACACAATAGGTGCTCAATAAATATTTGTTGAATGGATGATTGAATGAATAATGGACATTTATAACACCAAACAGAATGTTGGCAAAACAATTCCTTGACCTAAATCACGAGACTTTCTAAAGTGGGAAGAACGTAATCTATAGTGCTCTGCTGGTGTTTTCAGAGAAGCTCTAGGATAAGGTCTGATCTACTTTAAGCTAGAAGGGGGACCCAGCAATATAATAATTCAGGAAATAATTATGCTTTCGGAGGCAGCATACAGCTTCTCTTTCAGAAAACTCCTCCATATTGATCATCAGTCCGGTCCCCAAGCCCTTTTCCCTCCTGATTGGCGGTAGGGTAACTCCCTCCTCAAGTGGAATATGACGGGACCAGATGGAGACTGCTGATGTCTTCCTGGAAGACAGGGGGTGAGGTTGGTGTTGCATGGTGACAGGTGGACAAGGTTAGCAGGCCATGAAATTGAGCTGTGCGTTCCTACCTGGTGCAAGCATCAGGAAGGTGTTTCTTTAGCAGCTGGAGAAGTGGGCAGTTCCAAGAGGTAGTTTTCTCCCTACATGACATGGAATCTCAAGTGGGGAAGAGACGTGAGACAGGTCATTCCCTCTTTGTCAGCAGATCAGTAGTTAAAGACAGTTGGAGTTGAAAAGCATCCTTTCTGAAAACGGAACTTGGTCCAGTGAGTCCAGCAGTGAGTCATTGGGTCTCAGGTCGGCTGACTCCAAAGTCAAAGCCAGGACACCCTCCTTTCCCTACCCCATCTCATGTCTATATCACCCCATAGCTAAAGGGAAAGAAATGGATTTGTCAATTCACACATTTCCAGGAACAGACACCACAAATAATTACCAAGGCTTCCTTGACATAGAAGGCAAAGAGGAGCAGAGGGATGACATTCTCATGCCCTGGGTATGTTTACTTTATAATGCTAAGTCCAGCATGATCTGCTGTTGCCTTTCCTATCTTGTACAAAAGTGATCATTTTTAGGTTGATCCCTCATTGTGAGCCTCAAGCAAGTACTTCTAGTTCTCTACTCCTTTTTGTGCATGTAAAGGAATGGTGTCCTATACCATTCTCTCCTTCTGTGACCATCACAAACACCCTTTGGGAGATGGTACAGGTAACCCCCCAGGAGACCCAGGCTGTGTCCAGGTCCACGTTGGCCATGTTCTTCATCTGTAGGAAAGATGTGGTTCATTCAGGAGATCTCTCTTTGCCGGGAGAGATGCAAGAAGAAAGTTCTCGGGATTCCCATGACATTGGATAGGATGGGGGATTGGATCATGTAGCAAACATGTTTGAATGTTAATTTGTGCTTTGATTCATAAACAGAACTTCCATTTCCTCCTCCGCAAGATGTCATAAAACCGTCACTGGCTTGTGTGAAAATTAAGTGAGATAGCACAGTCAGAGAGCCTCAGACCATTCGAAGCATACAGTAGGCAGCCCTAATGATTACTATTGGTAACAATGCATTCTCGTAGCTTCTGTGTCGTGGAGAAGTTTTTCAAGTGAGCTCCATGTGCAGAACTTGCTGCAAAGACTCGCTGTTTGGCTGGGAGTCACACAAGCCCTCTCTTGGGCAGTTTCTACTGAAATGCAGCCCAGAAGAGACTGTGTCCTCCCAGGCTTTCTCAGAAACTCCCTGTTATTTCTGGTGCATAGGTTATGTTCAGCAGGAGAAGAGACAGCAGAAGGTGATTGAGAATGTGTGAGGCTTTGTACTTTGAGAGACTGAAGACTCCAAACACTAAACTATGTCTAGGTTGGCATTGCCTTGGAAATTAAGGTAAAAAATGATATAACTGCTAAAGAGCCACCTTGCTTCAGGGCTCTGTCCTTTGGCCTGCTTTTCAGGGAAAAGGCTTCAGTCAGGGGCCTGGGGTCTGAGACCTGAGCTCCAACCCGGGTTTGTCTTTTACTACTTGTGTAGTTGGTGAGCATCAGTGACCTCACCCAAAAAGGGAGGGCTTGTTGAGATGATGTTTATAAGGTTCAGCAGAGTTTCCAGCACTTTGAAAATGCTCCTTAAATAGCTACTGTTTGAATTCTACTGTGTGCATTTCTGACTCCTGATTGAGATCTAGGACAATTCAGAAAAAATTATCATTAATCCATTAAAATTTTTTTTTCTTTTTAATTTATTTTTTTAGAGAGAGTGTGAGTGAGCCTGAGCAGGGGAGGAGCGGGTGGGGGGGGATGTCCAGCAGACTCCCTGATGAGCATGGAGCTAGATGAGGGGCTTGATCTCATGGACCTGAGATCATGACCTGAGCTGAAATCAAGAGTTGGACAGTTAACCAACTGAGCCACCTGTCATGAATCCTTTAACTGTTGTTTGTAATTTTGGGTTGGTGGATCCAGTAGTTTTTGATCATATACTTATTTCATCTTGACTTCCATATTCTGTCTGGACTAAGGAGTTCTCGCGAGACTACACATTTACACAGTCAC